GATCGGACAATGGCCCGGCTTTCATCTCACAGGTAACACAGGCAGTAGCCAAGGCTATAGGGGCAAATTGGAAATTACATTGTGCGTATAGGCCCCAGAGCTCAGGACAGGTAGAAAGAATGAATAGAACATTAAAAGAGACCCTTTCTAAATTAACCATGGAGACTGGCGGGGACTGGGTGGCTCTCCTTCCCTATGCACTTTACCGGGTGAGGAACTCACCCTATACCCTAGGCTTCACTCCCTATGAAATTATGTTTGGTAGGCCCCCGCCTATCATTCCCAATCTTAAGGCAGAACTGCTAACTGAATTTGAAAACCAAGAAATATCTTTTTCTTTAAGAAGGCTCCAGAGGGCGCATGAGGACATTTGGCCATGCCTACAGGCCATCTACGAGACTGGCCTCATCCTGACGCCCCACCAGTACCGGCCGGGAGACTGGGTCTTTGTCAAAAGACACCGCTGGGAGACGCTTGAACCACGTTGGAAAAGACCATACATCGTAGTGCTGACGACGCCCACCGCCCTCAAAGTGGACGGAGTTGCGACCTGGGTCCACCACACCCATGTTCGGCCAGCTGACTCCTCTGCGATCCAGGAAGACTTCGCCAACGGATGGAGCATCGACCGAGACCGAGACAACCCCCTCAAGCTCAAGTTACGGCGTACTCAACTTGCCTGATGAAATTTTGTTTGCGGCCAGCTGCAGGAGTCCCCACCCCCCATACACTGGTTCGGGAGGGAGGGGGGGGAGGACTCACTTCTGCCCTGGACACTCCTGACCCCGCTGTGTCATCTTGTGTCTCCACTGGACACATCTCATGGCCTCCCCCAAAATATCAGATCAGGGCACCGGGAAGGAGGAACTTTATGCACCCTTCAGAAGTGCATACGGTCCCATGATTGGGCCTGTTAATTCTCAAGACAAGGGGGGAATGAGAGGGCAGGGCGGGGTGAGGGGGCAGGGCGGGGTAAGGGGGCAGGGCGGGGTGAGAGGGCAGGGTGGGGCGGGTCCAGCTCCCGGTAAATGGACCCTAGGCCTAACCCAACCAATCAGGTCAGCCAAGGTAGCGGCACCACCCTCCCTATAAAACCCATTGATATGTTAAGTTCTTCCTCTTTCTCGCCCATGCCCTCGTTGGTGTAGGTGAGACTGGGCTCTGACTAGTCCGAAATAAATACAGGCTTTCTGCAATTGCATCGGATTCGGCTCCCTGGTAGTCTTTGGGGTTTATGACACTTGGGCATTACACCAGGCACCTTTTAAATGCAGTATCTCTTTAATTCTCATAGCAATCCCAGAAGATAGTTATTACTTACTTTATAATTACTATTAATATTATTATTAGTTGCCACATATTCAGATGAGGAAACAGGCTGAAAAATTATAAAACTACCTAGGACCAGTTAGTGGTAGAGCCAGGAATGAGAACCTTGACTAACTGACTCCAAAGCATGCACTCCTTGCTTGGGTTAGGTCTCAGGTACACTGTGTTGTAGGTACTGAGAGGGCAGGGTGGGATGAGAGGGCAGGGTGGGGCCAGCTCCCAGTAACTGGACCCTAGCCCTAACCCAACCAATCAGGTCAGCCAAGGTAGTGCCCCCCCCCCATAAAAACCATTGATATGTTAAATCCTTCCTCTCTCCGGCCATGCCGTCGCTGCTGGTGTAAGTGGGACAAGCTCGGACTAGTCCGAAATAAATACAGGCTTTCTGCAATTGCATCGGATTCTACCAGTATCTGCACATGATGCATGAGGAGCCTGAGGTCTATGCACATAAAGTGGTTAGCCAAACATCATAAGAGCAAGTAGCTTGCATGTCTCACACAAGGATGGATTCTTTAAGGAACACTTGTTTGACAGAATGGAGGCTTTTTTCTACCTCCTATTTCTTTTCCTCTGCATTGCAACTCACCTACTGCCTGGCAACCATTTCCTCCCCCCCCCCACCTTCCTACCCCCCCATTCCTCCTTCAGTTACATTATCATATTCCATTTGAGCAGTAGGTTGTTTCCTGTCTTTGCTTTAGGTGCAAATGGTTGTGAATTTAACACCTGCAAGAGGAGATAGCACCAAAAGTCAGAGGGGCAGGGATGAATTATTCAGTTAATGGTGCTAGGGGAACTTCAGTATCTGATTGTAAAAAAGATGTTACCTTTGTCTAAGGTGACCAGATTTTAACATTGGTAAAGCGGGACACCATTGACGGGGGTGGGGAGGTTTTGATTAAAAATTTGGTCTATATGGAGCAACAAAAATTTTCATAGAACACAAAAATAGTTTTGTAATATATATTTTTAAATTTCAACATAAGTACAATTTACAAATACAATAAATAAATAAAAATATGTATAGTTGTAAGTCTCACTTTTAAGGCTGGCGCTAGACTCTTTGCCGCCACTATAAACTATAAATAATATGAGTTCTGTCTGCTAAATTCAAGAAAATTTATATTTATGAAATAAATAAATGAATAAATTACTTACCTAAATTATCTGAATAGCTGATTTGTAATGACATCACTTGTTTAACTAGCTTACTAGCACGAATACGATGTGTATCATCTGAGAGACAGTTACAAAATGTTTTCATCGTTGCCAATCCCAAAAAATGCCATTGCTCATTAAGTCCAAACAATGGTGGTCAAATTCTGACAACTGATCAACAATGCGAACTTTGATAAGCAGTTCTCAATAATCAGTTCTCAACAATTATTTGTTATTATTAAAGTTTAACATTATAAAATTAACAAAAATAATATAAAACTCATATCCTGTCTAAATAGCCACATGGCCACCAAAAACCGGATATTCCCTTCCCGGTCTCTAGCCATCCCCTAGCTTGTCGTGCATTCTTTTCAAAAATCGGAACTTTTTTAAAACGCCTCAGGGACATGGGACAAATTGTTAAAAATCGAGGCTGTACCGCCAAAAGCGGGACATCTCTCATGACACTAAATATGAATTCCAGATCAATTTGAGAAATAAGTGGAGATTTTATACAAGTATGTACTAATCCTTTAGTAATATATTTTACTGTTATGAAAGTAATAAAAAGAATCAAATGTTCAAAAGCAACCTTTTTCAAACTGCAGGAAAACAAATATTTATTAAATCTCTAGATTGGAGAAAGCTTTTTTCTGATTAAGAGTGATGTAAGATATTATAAAGAAAAGACCAATGCAAACCAGAATTAATTTTAGACTGTAATAAAGAAGAAAAAGCATTTATTTGAGCAAAAAAGGAGCTACAGCCCAGGAGACATACATTCAGGTAGTAACCTAAATTATGTTCCACAGAGACAAAGAGAAGACAATCTTTATCAATTACATCCATCTTATGTAAATTAGCTATTCAAATTGTGCAATTCTGATTAGACAGGGCCAGTCTCAGTCTGATGGTAAAAAGTTGAAGCCAAAGTTTCCTTCAGTGGTTGACTTAGACAGCATACTGTGAGAAGCCAAGAGTTCCGTCCCAGTATACAAAGTACATGAGGACCCCCTGTTAGCAAATGGCCACTAGGCTCTTAATATTTATACAATCTGGGCCTTCAGTTCACCATAGGGAATCCATCTCAACAAATAAATTTCTTCTCAGGGTACACATTAAATGAATCTTTCTTTTAAGAGTCTACACCATAAACCCAAAAGATAGCATTAACAGAAGTAAAAGACAAACAGCAAGCTGGGAAGTATTGGCAACAAATAATAAAAACAATAACAATAACAAACTTTTATTGTGTATACATAGCTAATATTAGGTCAAGCTGAAAGGAGCCAGGCCAAGAAACATTGTGAGATAACATTGGCAAATATGTTCTCCCTTGCAGTTGGCTTTCTTGTTTTGTTGATGGGTTCTTTAGCTGTGCAGAAGCTTTTTATTTGATGTAGTCCCATTTGTTTATTTGATCCTTACTTTCCATTGCATAGGAACTGTATAAATATATTGCTATGACATATGTCTGAGATTTTGCTGCCTGTGGATTCCTCTAAGATTGTTATGGTTTCCTGTCTTATGCTTAATTCCTTTATCCATTTTGAGTTTATTTTTGTGTATGGTGTAAGTTGGTGTTCTAGTCTCATTTTTTTTTTTTGCATATATCTGTTCAATTTCCCCAGCACCATTTATTGAAGAGACTGTCTTGACTCCACTGTATGCTCTTGCCTCCTTTGTCAAATATTAATTGAGCATAATGGCTTGGGTTGATGTCTGAGTTCTTTATTCTATTCCATTGGTCTATATATCTGTTCTTGTGCCAGTACCAAGCAGTTTTGAGAACAGTGGCTTTGTAATACAGCTTGAAATCTGGTATTGAGATTCCCTCTACTTTGTTCTTTCTCAGGATTGTTGCAGCTATTCCGGGTCTGTTCTTATTCCAGATGAATTTTTGGAGAGTTCTTTCTAGGTCTGTGAAATAATGTCGTTGGTATTTTAATGGAGAGTGCATTGGATCTCTAAATTGTTTTGGGTAGTATGAATATTTTAATGATGTTGATTCTACCAATCCATGAACACAGTATGTTCTTCCATTTGTTTATATCTTCCTCTATCTCTTTTTTTCAGTGTCCTATAGTTTTCTGAGTACAGGTCTTTTACCTCCTTAGTTAAGTTTATTCCTAGGTAACTTAATTTTTTGTGTGTAATGATAAATGGGGTTGTTCTTGAAATCTTTCTTTCTGTAAGTTCACTACTAGTGTATAAAAATGCCATAGATTTCTTGGTGTTAATTTTGTATCTTGCTACATTGCTGAATTCATTTATTAAGTCTAATAATTTTTTGATGGAGTCAAAAAAGAGAGCAGGGAGAGATAGGTTTTTATTAATTTTTTCTGGCTGCAAGCCAGTCTCGGTTCCTCCCATGCCTGGTGTCTTCTGGTTATCTGAGCTATGCCGTGCTCAAGGTTGCAAGCTTTCTGCAAGATATGTGCTAAGAGATAACGTGAGACCGAGACAAGGCCGAGGTGCAGGAAAAGGCCTGACGGTTACCTAATGTCCTCCTCCTGGTGGCTGCAACCTATTTTCAGAAACAGGACACCAGTCAAGTTCTTCTGGACATGGCATACAACCACTTGTGTGTGACCGAAAAGGAATATTTTGGTTTGCAGCATGGCGATGAATCAGTGGACTCTCCCAAGGTTTCCCCTGCACCCTTTATTTTTGAGTAAGATTTTTTATACCTGATCCCAACACACTGTAGCAAGAACAAACCAGGCATTTGTATTTCCTACAACTGAAGATGGATATTTGTGAAGGAAGGTTGACCTGCCCTCTTAACTCAGTGGTGGTTCTGGCATCCTACACAGTACAATCTCATTTTGGAGACTATAATTCTTCCATCCACCACCCGGGCTATCTTTCTGAGAGCCAGTTTATACCAGATCAGAACGATGACTTTGTCACGAGGGTAGAATCGCTCCACGAGCAGCACAGTGGGCCGAAGCAGTCAGAAGCGGAATCTTGCTTCATTAACATAGCACGGACCCTCAATTTCTATGGTGTGGAGCTGCACAGTGGCCGGGACCTGCACAATTTAGATCTAATGATCAGGATTGCCTCTGCGGGCATTGCTGTGTACCGGAAACATATTTGCACAAGTTTCTATCCTTGGGTGAACATTCTAAAAATCTCTTTCAAAAGCAAAAAGTTCTTTATACATCAGCGACAAAAGCAGCCTGAATCCAGGGATCACATTGTGGCCTTCAACATGCTAAATTACAGGTCTTGCAAAACCTTGTGGAAATCCTGTGTGGAGCACCATACGTTCTTTCAGGCAAAGAAGCTGCTGCCTCAGGAAAAGAATGTTCTGTCTCAATACTGGACGCTGGACTCCAGGAACCCCAAGTCTGTAAATAACCAGTATTGCAAAAAGGTGATTGGAGGGATGGTCTGGAACCCAGCCATGCGGAGATCCTTATCCGTGGAGCATTTAGAAACCAAGAGTCTGCCTTCTCGGTTCCCTCCTATTACTCCCAACTGGCGAAGCCCTCGGCTCGGGCATGAAATCCGAAAGGCAAAGCACTCTTCCGCGGACAACCTCGCCAACGAGATGACGTACATCACCGAAACTGAGGATGTGTTTTACACCTACAAGGGCTCCCTCTCCTCGAAAGACAGCGATTCGGGGGTTTCTCAGAACCAGAGCCCACACCAAGAGAGCATATCTGAGAGCAACCCAGCCCACACCAAGAGAGCATATCTGAGAGCAACCCAGCACAAAGCTGCCCGACCTGGAAGTCATCCAGCTCTGTGTCTCCGTCTTCAAATGCTCCGGGCTCCTGCTCCCCAGATGGCGTGGACCAGCAGTTCTTAGAGGACTTCCACAGGGTGACCAAAAAGAGCTCCACCGAGGACTCCAGCCAGTACTACTGCGACAAGAATGACAATGAGGACGGCTACTTAATCTTAATCCGTATCACGCCAGATGAGGATGGAAAATTTGGATTCAATCTAAAGGGAGGAGTGGATCAAAAGATGCCTCTTGTGGTGTCAAGGATAAACCCAGAGTCGCCTGCGGACACCTGCATTCCGAAGCTAAACAAAGGGGATCAAATCGTGCTAATCAATGGCCGGGACATCTCAAAGCACACGCACGACCAGGTGGTGATGTTCATCAAAGCCAGCAGGGAGTCCCACACGGAGGAGCTGGCCCTGGTCATCCGGAGGAATGCTGTCCACTCCTTTGCGGATATGAAATCTGAAGATGAACTGAGCCAGCTCTTCCCGGAGGCCATTTTCCCTGAGTGTCTGGAGGTTGCCGACACCTTGGAGGCATCCATGGAACAGCTGAAGAAGGGCCTCGAAAGTGGGACGGTGCTGATCCAGTTCGAGCAACTCTCCAGGCCATCACCTTTGCAAAGCTGCTTCAAATTTTGGACAAAAACCGATACAAAGACATGTTGCCTTATGACACCACCTGAGTGTTACTGCAAGGAAACGAAGACTACATTAACGCGAGCCACGTGAACATGGAAATTCCTGCTGCTAACCTCGTGAACAAGTACATTGCCGCTCAGGGATCCCTGCCACATACCTGTGCACAATTCTGGCAAGTTGTCTGGGATCAGAAGTTATCACTCATCGTCATGTTGACGACTCTCACAGAGCGAGGGCGGACCAAGTGTCACCAGTACTGGCCCGATCCTCCCGATGTTGCCGAGCACGGCAGCTCCCACATCCGCTGAATAAGCGGCCCCAGAGTTATTTAAAAAGGAGATTGGCTTACCTGCCACCACAATTGTTACCCGAGGCTCTGTCCTGGTGATATAAGTCTGTGAGGTCTTGTCAGGGCTTGTCCCAGGAGGTCTGGGAGCTCCAAACTGGATCCAGAGGGAGACCTTGCTGAGGTCTGACCTGGAGGGGCCAGACTACAGTCTTATTTCCAGTGGCCTTCCCTCCCACACCTCGGGCAGGGCCCAGGCTGGGGTCTCGGGTTTGGGCAGGACTTGATCCAGTGTCTTTCTTTGTTTCATTTGATGCATGGGCCCAGAGGAGGCTTAGCCCCTGACTTACTCTTGGTTGCAGGACTGGCACTTCATTTGGAGTCATGAGAGTGGTGGCTAGGAGCTGAAAGGCCTTTGGGATTTAGCCTTGGCCTGATCTTGTCTTTGTTTTCAGATTTGGGTCTCCTTGTCTCTATTATTAGAGACCTCAAAGGACATGTTTAAAAGGTATCCTTGGGGGTTCGTTTCTTTTGGGCTTATAGGGTCAAGATTGGTGTATTTTCTCATAGTCTGTGTAAGGCAAAAGAGGAAGACTGTTGGGTTTTCATGTCTTTCCTGGGTGACCTCTGCTAATCTATCTAAATAATAGAGGAATATGCAAATTAGCCAGGTCACCATAATGTCATGACCAAACAGCAGGGACCTAAGGCTGGATGGCACTTGGCCTAGGCAAGGAACCTTAGGCCATGACCCCTGCCCCACAGAGTTTGACAGGGGACCTCAGGCCATGCCCCCAGCCCTGGTGCCAGGCTGGGGGATCTGAGACTGCACCCCCCCAGCTGGCAGGGTTTGACAGGGACCTGAGAATGTGCCCCCACCTGGCGCCAGGCCCGGGGACCTGAGGCTGCACCCCCCACCCAGAGGGGCTTGATGGGGGTGGGGCAGGCCAGGTCTGGTCTTACCCAATGGGGATGGAACCAGCCGGATCTGGATCTCCTGTGTTTTCAAAGTGTGTGTGGGTGGTGGGCAGGGACTTGACTCTGGGTTCCACAGCATGCCCCAGACTCTGACAGGAGGGAGATTTTCATATACGTTTTACTAATTTTCTTTCATCTCTGACACTTGTATTATAGAGAAAGGCTAGTGTGAGAGGAGGAAGAGAACTGAAAACTGCTCCAGAACAGGTGTGAGATGGGATGATAGCGGTGGGATCCTCTGGGTAGGGTGGTGGGCTTTCAGGCTGTTGAGATGGAGGAGCCCTAGGCTCAGGGACTGGGGGATGGTCTGTGAGATCAAAAATGGTGAAGAAAGGGGAGGAATTGAGATGCCCTGGGGGCTGAGAGTGAAGAAGGAAAAATCTGTGAGGGAGAGCAGCTGTTAGAGAGAGAAGGATGTGTCCTTGAGTGTAAAAAAGCCTGGATATACAGATTCTCAGACCACTTGCCTTGTCCATGGCAGAATTGTCAAGGTCAGTTATAATTTGGAGATCAAAAGTGCTGTTTTACTGAGGTCAGAAGTCCTGTGTGAATTCTAGGATCTGAAGGCTTTTAAGTAGACAGCCCAGGTATGTGGTGCAGGGAATGGTCGACTGCAAATTCCCTGTGGCGGCTGGCAATGGCTTAAGGTCTGCTTTCCATGAAATTAGGGCCGAGAAAGGCATCCCTCTCTCCCCCTAACATTCACCAGAAATGGACAGAGCCCTTCCCTCGGGACAGGCATTCCTGTCAGAAGAGTGGGTGAGAGAACCTGGTTCCCCTGGAGGACTTGTCCAGACCAGCGCTGGATTTCCATGGGGCTGGCTGAATAGTATCTGCCCGGAGCTTGGCTCCAAACTCAAAATGACAGGGCAGTCTGGACGGAGGAAAACAGACCAAAGCCACTTACCTATGAATTTATGCCTGGTGTTGATGCAAGAGGAGGCAAAGCAAGGGGAAGTCCATTATCCAGTCACAGGCACAACCCAGACCGGTCTGGAAAAAGTCTAGGGGGGCCCAAATAAGTGTTGTGAGTTCAGCAGAAGTTCAGCCATTCAGGAGTATGGCTGGGGGTTTCCCAGGACACAAGTGGAGCTCAGGAGCCGGATGATAATGGTCTCTCTGAGTGCCAAGTGCCTGGTTGCTGGAATGCTGCAATGGATCTTACCAGACCCCTCACTAGACTTTTCCAGGTGTTTGGCACCAAATGAAAGGCTGGGAGTGGGGCAGGGTCGTGCACCTATGACATGAGGCCATAATGTATCAAAAGAGATTTTATTCTGACTAGCTGGGTGCAGGTGGGCTGAGACCGAGAAAGGCATGAGCAAAGAGAGTAGGGAGAGATAGGTTTTTATTAAATTTTTTCTGGCTGCAAGGCGCTCTGCTGATGTAAGAGTCTGGTCTGTCCTTGGTTCCTCCCACGCTTGGTATCTTCTGGTTATCTGAGCTATGTTGTGCTCAAGGCTGCAAGCTTTCTACAAGATATCTGCTAAGCACAATAAGTCTTTCTCTGCCCCATTTTGTTCTCTTTAACCCTTTCAGTTACATGATCAGGTCCCTTCAGGACAGTTTCCATTCCTTATATGGTCTGAGATGAAAATCAAAATGACAAGTTTTTCCTGGTCTTTTATTTTCCTATAGCGGGAAACACACAAATGGCCATTAAGGATTGCATTGCCCTACAGTCCCAACAGTTATCGTTTAAGATCTTACGAAGTGCCAGAAATATTCCAAGAGCTTTACATGATTTCATTTCCTTCTTACAATAATCCTGAGATAGATCCTAATATTATCTCCAAGATCTAAAACATTCTTATTTAAGGGGAAAACAAATAATGCATAAAATATAAATATACAGCACTAACAAGTTATAAAGCAGACTGCCATAAAGATTAAGAGATAGAGCATTGCCAGAACTCCTGAAATCCCTGTGGACTCCTGCTCAGTCACAACATCTTTCCTCTAAAGGAAAACACTGGTGACAGTTATGACTTTTACTTGCTTACCTTTCTTTAGAGCTTTACCACTCAAATATGAATCCCCAAACACTATTATTTTTAAAAGGCTTGGTTCTTTTTTAAAAAATATATATTTTATTGATTTTACACAGAGAGGAATTGAGAGGGATAGAGAGTTAGAAACGTCGATGAGAGAGAAACATCGACCAGCTGCCTCTTGCACACACCGCCCCCCCCCCCCACTGGGGATGTGCCCGCAACCAAGGTACGTGGCCTTGACCAAAATCGAACCCGGGACCTTTCAGTCCGCAGGCCGACGCTCTATCCCCTGAGCCAAACCGGTTTCAGCCCCAAACACTATTTTTGTTTTTTAATTTTATATAAATAGAAATACTGTGCATGCATCCTTCTGTATCTGGCTCATTTCCCTTATATTTCTGAGGTTCAACTTTGTGTGTAGCATTAGTTCATCATTTTCAGTGTTAAGTAACAGCATTTAATTCTATGAATTTACAAGAAATTATTTATTCATTCCTACTGCTGATGCACATTTGCGTCATTTCCGGTTTGGGGAAATTATGAAAAATGTTATTATAACATCTTTTTTTTCCCCCCCCAGCCTGTGTGGCTAAATGGTTGAGCATCGACCTATGAACCAGTAGGTTCACTTCCTGGGCAGAGCATATGCCCTGGTTGCAGGCTCAATCCCCAGTGTGGGGCATGCAGGAGGCAACCAATCAATGATTCTCTCTCATCACTGAAGTTTCTATCTCTCTATTCCTCTCCCTTTCTCTCTAAAATCAATAAAAATATATTTTAAAAAATTAAATAAACATTTTGTCTCCTGCTGTACATATGCACACATAGAATATGTATATAGGAGTAGAATTGCTGGTTCATAGAGCATGGATTTTTGAAACTTTACTAGATACTACCAAACTGTCTACCAAAGTTTCACTCAACTGCCACTTCTGCCATCAAGTGGTCCTGTTGTTCCACCTCCTCAGAAACATGTGGTATTGTCAATAAAGATTTAAAGCTTTCACTTAAGGTTTGTTAATATAAGAAACATTCAAATCTGTGAAGAATTTTTTGTGAGTTTATCTGTGTTAGGGTCGCTGAAGGAGGAATGCACTGGCTCTTACCAGACCCCTTATTAGACTTCCCTGGGTGTTCAGCACCAAATGAAAGTTTCAGAGGCCAAAGTGGTAAGGGATTATAAATTTATTAGGTCATCTGGATATCAGATGGGCTGAGCCCAAAAATGGCACCGGCACCCAGGGATGAGAAGTCAGAAATTTTAAAGGATTTTAGGCAGGCTTTTTCTGGATGAGAATTCTCTGCATGAGTCCAGATCCTAGGAAGGTCTGAGGGGAAGGATAATAGTCTTAGCAAGTGGAATGTGATCTAAGTGAAAGGGAATGTCCGTTGTGAAGTGATCTAAAGGTCAGTTCCCAAGGGAGGTGCTATTGATTTAATTATTTGATCAGACCTAACATTCCAGCCTTTTTGTTTTATGGAATAGGGACAAAGGTCTTATCTTCTATAGTTACATCCTGCTGAGGGGGACATTGAGATCATAGGGGGTGAACTTTGATTGCAGTAGGCTGGAATACTGTATAGATTCCTCATGGTTAGAGTGAAGGGTTGCAGCAGCATGATTTCCCTGAGAGACTGGCTGTGAAGGGAAGATAAAAAATAGCTCAGAATACATGGGCCAAAAATGAGGATGAGGAATCAGAATGGTCCTATGAAGGGAAGTAGCCAGGTATACCAATTTACATTTAGCCAGTAGTCCCATGAATTTGATTAACATTCTCTAATCTTTGCAGCCTTTTCTGTTAATTTTTGGGCAGCATCCCTGACTAGGCCAGACTGATAGACATAAAAACAATCTTCTTCTTTCAGAATAAAAAGAAGCATGGACCCCCTTTCTTCACCGTTAGGAAGTGTAACTAGTCCTTTCAATTATGAAGGGTGACAGCTGCTAGTGAGTCTGTCTGATCCTGAATTTGAACTAAACTTTTGGCAATGCCATTTAGGCTTTCTTGTAGGTCCTGAGACAAGATTTCAAAATATGAT